AAAATTTACATCGAAATAAATTTATCTAGTATATATAGCGTGTAAATTTTGTTAGGGTATATAAATATTTCATATTGTGAATATGTGATTTTTGTTAATATATTGTGGATGTATTTAACTATTATTGACATATTTCCTTACAAATAATAGAAGATTTCTAAACTTATATCTATTGACATATTTTGCGTGACTAAGTTAGAAGGTGTGGGGTAATTTACCAAAACCAAATTGTAAGCGTATCTTTGTTATTATAGATATGATTTTTCATAAGATATAATAATGATAAGATTATTAGAGAGTTAATTTAACATGACTTTCTAATAATAGTCCATTTTTAAGAAAAATCACACATGAATTTAAGTCATGACTTCTGTTTTAATATATAAGATGTGTATATATGTATGAATGAAATTTGCAAGTATGAGCTAACACAAAATATAAAAACAAGACTTGTAAACAGCAACTAGACAACAACAACAACAAGACAAGTTTTTTTCATTAAGATAAAAGAGGCCTCTCTACAAGGACATGGTAGTAGCATTCTTTGGAAGAGAACAATCTGCTTATGCAATCTCCAACTGCAGTTGGTAGCAACCAAAAAAAAGAAGTCAGTAAACCAAAATGATAGATGTAAATGTCTTAGTCATATTTGTTTGTGAGAATAAGTAAGTAACCAAAAAGAATGAGAGCTGCATAATTATTTACGGGGCCGGGGAAAAAACTATTTGAATTTCTGTATTAAAAAAAAGATACTCTAACTTGCCTTCTCAGTCTTTGGATCATCATCATCATCATATTGGAAACGATTGGCCCACTCTAGAAAATCTTGTCTTTTTGCCTCCAATTTTTTAAGATAAGGCTGGTATATTTGGAGTGAGAGATTATTAAATATATATATATATATATAAAAAAATTGTCAGTGAAAATACTCGAAAAGAAAAACTTGCCTCTCGAAGCTTATAGGCCTCATAAAGTTCTGCTCCACTGTTAAACTTGGCCGCAAGGTAATCAAGATACTCATCCATCTAAATCATGATGGAGAAGAGAATGAAACGAGAGAATGGAGGATGAAAAATAGTATTGATACAAAATCTTTATATTAGGATGTGCATTTACATTATCTGCATGTGGGCGAGTTGTGAGGTAGATAGGTGCATTGAAATAAGGAATCTTCTCCCTCACAATCATGCAAGAATGTTAACCAAATAAAGAAACCTAGTCACAATGGGAGTCAATAACAAAGTCCTACACAAGCCTATACAACAAGACTCTTAGAGATGATCAGCGGCAGCTTAATATTCTTTGCATCACCAACTGTTCACCCAATTCTCTTGTTGAGTTATGATTTAACTAAAAGTAAGTTGTATTTTTTGTATGGAGCTATGATCAAGTTTCAGTATGTCTTGTTTGGTTACATTTGGAGAGAATAAATAATTATTAATTCCTTGTATAAGGTTTAAAAGGAGTCATTGAGATGGAAACATTGGTTAACGTCTCTATTTGAATCACGAAATAGCAAGAAACAGCTGCTTGACGTCTAGTCAAGTGCATAGACGAATGTCTTGTGTTGCAAGGAAGCATGGCTTACTAGTTTCTCCTATTAGTCTATGTTCATAAGGCTAACCTAATAATTGAGTTTACTCTGTTTCATCAAAAGGCGCAATGCGTATGAGAAACAGAGTATGAACGATATAATTTGGATCTATCGTTTGGTTTCAACAACTGATAGTTGATTTTTTTTTTTTTTTGTAGTCCGCTGTTTTTATTGCAGAAAATCAACTAGGCAAGGGAGAAGAAGTTGAAAATCAATCGGTTTTTGTTAGCAATGTAAGAATGCTTATGTGTCTATCGTTTGGTTTAATGCATAATTTCTTCATGTAATGACTTGTGATGAAAATTAAAGAGGTCAGAAACCTTATTTGTCCATGTTTCTCCAGAAATTACAGATTTTATAGGGGTTAGTCTACTGAATTAGGTTGAATATGAAGTATTATTGAATTACTCACTAAAATATTAGAAATGATTTTCATGTACCATAAAAAGAATTTTAAATTACATTAATATGAATGTATAATTTGATCAGGTATTTTTAGTCAACATGAAAGAGTTTAAACTTTAGTAAATAGATTTTTTTGGAAAACTCAACATTTTTGTAGGGGTTAACCCACATATTTCAAGATAAATTACAATATGCTTTATTTTTCTTTTAAGTCATAAATGCATTCACTATATAAATAGGATGAAGATCAATGATATCTGACACCTTTGTTGTCCTTATTTCTCTAGAATATAAAGATTTCATTGGGTTTTGGTTCCTTGATTTACGTGGTATATAAAGTTTTCTTAAATTATTTGTTGGAAAATTATAACTGATACCCATTTTCCATGAAAATAAATTTAGGATAATTATTATAAATTTTTGATGTGACTAGATATTTTAAATAACACTAAAGAAGCTCAACTTAAGTACAAATAGCATTTATCGGAAAACTCGATCATTTGTAGGGATTAACCCATAAATTTCAAGATAAATTAGAAATATATATAATTTTTGTATTTATGTATAGCTGCATTCAACACTGATATATGATGAATATCAAAGAGTTTGATACCTTAGTTGTCTAAAGTCCTCTATAAAATAGAGATTTTTTAGGATTAGTTCATTGATTTTGGTGGTATATAAATTTTATTAAATCATTTGGTTAAAAATTAGAACTTATGCCCATGTACCATGAACATATGTTTAGTATATTATTATAAATGTTGAACGTGGTTAGGTAATTTTATAAAAAAAACTACAGAGGTATAGATAACCCATATATTTCAAGATAAATTAGAATATATGGTATTTTTTATTGAATGTTGCATCATGGACTGACATAATATAAAGAAAAATATGTTTTGAGAACAAAAAAATGAAGATTTTATCGGGATTAGTCCACTTATTAGGTGGTAAATTAAATGTAAATAAATTAGTCATTCGAGAACAAAAAATGGATATTTTATAGGGATTAGTCCACTTATTAGGTGGTAAATGAAATTTAAATAAATTAGTCATTTGAAAATTAGAAATGATGCCCATGTACAAGGAAAATAAATTTAGCTTACATATATATATATATATATATATATATGTAAGTTTTTCCATGTATATTTAAACAACACGTAGGAGGCTAAATATGACAGATATTATTTATCAAAAAAATCGATATTTTCATAGGGGTTAACCCACATATTTCAAAATAAATTACAAAATATAGAATTTTTATTTTAATTCATAGATGAATCATGCACTGTCATAATATGAAATTTAAAATTGTTTGATACCTTAGGTGTTTTCATTTCTCTAGAAAATTGAGATTTTATAAGGCTTAGTACACTAATTATATGTATATGAAGTTTAAAAAAGTTTATTCGTTGGAAAATTAGAAATGATGCCCATGTACCATGAAAATATGTTTAGCATACATTAATATGCATTAGATTGTGGTTAGGTATTTTATAATAAATATTTATGAGGCCTTTAGAATATAAAACATCTATTGGAAAAAAACTCAATCTTTTTGTAAAATAAATTAAAAACTGTAATATTTTGTTTTAATGCATAATTTCTCCATGAAATGACATGTGAATAAATTAAAGAGGTCTAAGACCTTATTTGTCCATGTTTCTCTAGAAAATAACAGATTTTATAGGGGTAAGTCCATTGAATTAGGTGAATATGAACTATTATTAAATTACTCACTAAAATATTAGAAATGATTTTCATGTTACCATAAAAATAATTTTAAATTACATTAATATGAATGTATAATGTGATTAGGTATTTTTTTAGTCAACATGAAAGAGTTTAAACTTTAGTAAATAGACTAGTGGTTTTCCGGCGCTACGCGCCGGATTTTTAATTATAAATTGTTTAATTGTGTTATTAAAATAATTTTGTTATAATAACTAACTGTAAATAGATGAAATACTATTTTCTATAGCATTTTAGAAATTTGAAGTATAATAAACATGAATGTATATTAATAATTTTATGAAAATATATTAGCTTTTAATATAGAAGTAATTTGTATTGATTTTTAGTGATTCAAAATACTTTGTAAAAATATTTTTTTACACTGTAGAAAGAAATACATGAATTTTGGATCGTATTATCTCATTTAACTCATGATTATCTTTACAAAACTAAAAAGTGAATTTTGTTTATTACTTTGAATCTCTAATAGATCATAAACCTAATGAATATTATTTAAAAATATAATTAGATATATAAGTGATCTAATATTAGTAGAATGGATGATTTATAATCTAGACCAAAATAAAGCATAATTTGCATATTTTGGCAGAATATAGTTTTTTGAAAACACTCTCACACACACACATACATAGTATATATATTATTTGAAATAGACCAACATCATAGAAACTTAAGTCTCATAACCGAGAGAAAAAATATGAAATGTACTTTGCATATTTTTGGCAGTGGGAAACATATATAAATTATTTAAAATAGACTAATATCATCAAAAAGTGATGGCTCATAATCAAGAGAAAAAAATCATGTTCACTTGTCTATACAATAATTATATAAATAATTCATATTCATATATTTTTATTATGTTGGTTTGGTTGATGTATTTTTTTTATGTTTAAAAAAATATATAACTTTGATTAAAAACTACACAAAAGTACACAAAGCCTACACAAACTTCAAGCATACACTTAAAGTTCGATAACAATGTGTTTTTAAATTGTGAAGAACCTTGCTCTGTTTCTGCGACGCAAGATAAAGCGGTTCTTGTATCTGAAGAACGCCTCACTTGGAAGCTCATATGTGGCTTCCTCTTAGGAGGAAAAAGTTCTCGGGTACTTTATTTTGTAAGCAAGTAGAAGACAGATCGTCTCCAAACTCTGCTACCTTTGGTCCACGTACTCTCCTAAAAATAAATAGTTAGCTGTAGGTGAGAAGCCTCGTATTCAAACCTCAACATACCCGATTACTGTCCATGAATATCACCTGAAAGAAAAAACATTATAAATCCGTGTGACTTTAAGAGACCAATAAAACACATCAGCATATTTGTTATTTGCAGTCACTAATCAGATGCAATCCTAGGTTACATCAAGCGGCTATGAGCAAAACAATAGTTTAAGCTCCTTAAACTTTTGACCATGTCTCACACAAAACTAAGAGCTATTCAAGTGATCTCTATGAGTCCTTTAACTTCTCTCTGTTTTGCGATGATCTGTGCAATCAGATGATTGATTAAGCATATCTCCTCTCTTAGTTACTACACAAATCCACACAATAAGAAACTTTTTTTTGTTTTGTTCTTCCTTTTCTATAACTTAACCAAACGCAAAGTCACATTTTGGCTACAATCAATTCACGTTTCACAAAACCTACTCAAAACAGATAAAAATAAGAACTTTTTCTTTCGGGGAGCTGATCTAGGCAAAAATACTTACCCATGAAAGCAATCATGTAGAACTCGGATTCCAAAACCAAAAAAAAAAACACAAAGAAAAAGATCAAGAGGAAAATAGATTGATTACCGTAGATCTTGATGGGAGCTTCAAGCTCAAGAAGGTTATGTAGTAGCGAATCATGTGAAATCTATAAGAAACCAGAGAAAATATACAACCAAAGAAAATAAAGTGGCAAGTCAATATGCTTTTTAATACTTGTATTTCTAAATGGATAATAAATGCAATATAGACACCTCTAAAAAAACTTTCAACCTTCTTGTTTCACGTCTTCCATGATGTCTTCATACTCCATGTAGTCTCTGAGATCATCCTCCGTCACAACTTGAGTCAGACAGACAACTATTGTTGCCACTGGGCCCAACTGTAACATATTAATCTGCAAAAGAGAACAATTTTTGCAATTGATAAAAACATCTCCACAAAAGAAAACTTCTCGTGGTTACATAAACATTAACAACAGCATCACCTTGACCAGCAATGTGTCCACCAACGGCAGCCATAACGTGAGTAAATAAATAATGTAGCCACTGACTGCAACACAGGAAAGTAAATCAATGTTAGTATCAAATGTTGTAACATATTTTGACTGGGAAAAAAAAGTGGATACTAACCTGTTTATTTGCCGCAGGGGAAAGCCCACCGACATAGACTCTGCGAACGTGCCCACCAAGTGTCTTGGATATCTACTAAACCAAAAATCATTAGTGACAAATAGAGGTTCAGAAGATTGTGTACACTTGAAACTGAATGAAGTGGATAAGGAAAAGTGATTCTGGTTTATTGAACCAGAAAAGTTCATCACAAGGTCTTAGTTTAACACCAGAGTCCAATACTAATGTTGCGATTACACGCTGCAACTTTGCACCAACAAAAGAAAGTATGTTGAAAAGAAAAAAAATGCTAAGCAAAGCTCAATAGACAAATGATATGAGACTCAATATCCAAAGATAAAAAGAGAAATATAAAACAAAACATAGTTTTTACAGCTATAGGAATGATCGTTATCCAGAAATAAAGATTTGATAAACGCTTAAACTACATAAGAAGGGAGTATAAATCAATTGCAATTTGCATTTAGAAGATTACTCACAATTAAAAACAGAAAGCGAAGAGTTTCCCATCGCAAGCTTCTTTTGGAGTTTCAAAGTTTCTAGATTTCTTTTCAGTTGTGATTTTCATCGTAGCAGCGAGCGATATTTATAGATGAACTGCAGACAGTTTGTCAGAAAGCGAAGAGTTTCCCAGCAAACTAAAGATAGAGGCGTGAATTAAGCTCAGATAAGCTCGAAATAAATGACAAACTTTGGGAGATGGGAGGCGTTAGGGTTCTGAATTGATTTTGTTGTTTCTCTGATTTCGCAGATGAAAAGAATCGAGGAGAAGCAGAACAGACGGGGAAGAAGAAACAGAATTCTTTACGGGTCAGAATAAAAAATTAGTATGGGCCTTTGAAAGTGTTGCAAGCCCAGAACCAAATACACTCGCCGGCTTATCAAAAAAAAATGATGCGTACAACCAACCATAGCTCGACACGTGTCGAAAAACCCCCCATCAAAAAAAAACGATGTGGATGATTGTGGGGGCAGATAAGCCAACTTTATTATTATAGATTTGTTTGGAAAACTCGATATTTTTGTAGGGGTTAACCCATATATTTGAAAATAAATTAGAAAATACTTTATTTTTCTTTTAATGCATAGATGCATTCACTATATATATAGTATGAAGATCATCGATGTCTGCCACTTTTTTTGTCCTAATTTCTCCAGAATATAGAGATTTCATAGGGTTTGGTTTCTTGATTTACGTTGATTTACGTGGTATATAAAATTTTATTAAATTACTCGTTAGAAAATTATAACTGATGCCCATGTACCATGAAAATAAATTTAGGATACATTAATGTGTCTAGATATTTTAAATAACACTAAAGTGGCTTCACTCAAGTACAAATAACGTTTATCGGAAAATTCAATCTTTTTGTTGGAATGAACCCACATATTTCAAAATAAATTATAAAATATATAAATTTTTTTATTATGTATAGTAGCTGCATCCAACACTGATATATGATGAATATCAAAGAGATTGATACCTTAGTTGTCCAAAGTTCTCTATATAATAGAGACTAGGTAGTAATCTGCGCTATGCGCGGAATGAAATAGTTTATTAGATTATTCATTGTTTGTTATATAACTTTTTGAGGGATGTACATTTATATATCTGTTCGGATTCTGATCTATTCATATTTCGGATATTTAGCATTAAAGTTTTTAATTACATTTGGATATTTACAAATTTTTATTTAGATTTGGTTCGAATCATTGTGGGTTCGATTCAGATTCGAGTTGAGATACCCATTTTAGTTATGCATGTTTAACAAAAACTTAAATATACTTAAATCCTCAAAATTTGAAAATAAAATAATATAAAACATAAAAATGAATAATGTAAGACTATATTTAAATTTAGATAAATAGTTGAATTCAAATATTTGGAGGAAAAATAAATATTTTCAATATTTTGAACATTTTCTGTTTATTTTAGATATATATATATATATATATATATATATATATATATATATGTGACTATATTGATAATTTTTAAATAATACATATTTTTGAGTATCTAATAGATATAAATTTAAAATAATTAAAATATTTAAATATATAATAATTTTTGGTATCCAAAATATTTTAATTTGGATTAATTTGGATATGTTTATCTGGATATTAAACTTTTAAATCTATCTAAGTACTTAATCAATTTTACTTTTTTTTAATATTACTTTGAAATCTAGTTCGGTTGGGTTTTACATATCCAAATAGCAGATCCAAATATTTTTGGTTAACTAAAATAATAAAACAAATATTTTTGGTTAACTAGGGTATCAAACTCTTTGATATTCATCCCACATTTTTAATTTATCTAACGACAACATCGAGTTTTTCCCAATAAATGTTTAGTATACTATAGTTTATGGAGTTTAAAAAAACTTTTTTGTTGGAAAATTAGAGATGATGCTCGTCTACCATGAAAATATGTTTAGCATACATTAATATGCATTAGATTGTGGTTAGGTATTTTTAAAAAAATATTAATGAGGCTAAACTTTAGTATACTAAACATTTATTCGGAAAAAACTTGATGTTTTCGTTAGATAAATTAAAAATGTAATATTTTATTAATGCATAATTTCTTTATGCAATGGAATGTAATGAAAAATAAAGAGGTCTGAGACTTTATTTGACCACGTTTCTCCGGAAATTACAGATTTTATAAGGATTAGTCCACTCAATTAGGTTTAATACGAAGTATTATTAAATTACTCACTAAGTTATTAGAAACGATTCTCAGGTACCATAAAAATAATTTTAAATTAAATTAATATGAATGTATAATGTGAATAGGTATTTCTTTAGTCAATTTAGTAAGTAGATTGTTTTCAAAAAATTCGACATTTCTGTATGGGTTAACCCACAGATTTCAAGATAAATTAGATAATACTTTATTTTTATTTTAATTCATAGATGCATTCACTGTATATATAGAATGAACATCAACGATGTCTGAGACATTTGTTGTCTATTTCTCTAGAAATAGAGATTTCATAGGGTTTGATTACTTGATTTACGTGGTATATAAAGTTTTATTAAATTAATTGTTGGAAAATTATAACTGATACCCATGTAACATGAAAATAAATTTGGATACATTATTATAAAATTTTGATGTTATTTGATATTTTAAATAACATATAGAGGCTCAACTTAAGTACAAATAACATTTATCGGGAAACTCGATCTTTTTGTAGGGATCAACCCACAAATTTCAAGTATATTAGAAAATTTCTAATTTTTATTTATTTATGTATACCTGCATACAATACTGATATAGGATGAATATCAAAGAGTTTGATACTTAGTTGTCCAAGGTTCTCTATAATATAGTTATTTCTTAGGGTTAGTTCATTGATTTTGGTGGTATATGAATTTTATTAAATTATTTGGTTAAAAAATAAAAGTGATGTCCATGTAACATGGACATATGTTTAGTATATTATTATAAATTTTGAATGTGGTTAGGTATTTTTAAACAAGACTAAAGAGGTATATATATATAACATTTTTCGGAAAACTCGATGTTTTTGTAGGGTTAATCCATATATTTCAAGATAAACTAGAATATGTGATATATTTTTATTGAATTTTGCATCATGGACTGACAAAATATGAAGAATAAAAAGTTTTCAGAACAAAAAAAAAGAAGTTTTTATAGGGGTTAGTCCACTTGTTAGGTGGTAAATGAAGTGTAGATAAATTAGTCATTTGAAAATTATAAATGATGCCCATGTACCACGGAAATAAATTTAGCTTACATATATATATATATATATATAATTTAACTTTTGCTATGTATATTTAAACAACTCTTAGGAGGCTAAATAGGACAGATAGTATTTATCGAAAATTCGATATTTTCGTAGGGGTTAATCCACATATTTCAAGAAAAATTACGAAATATAGAATTTTTGTTTTAATTCATAGATGCATCATGCACTGTTATAATATGAAAATTAAAGATGTTTGAGACCGTAGGTGCTTTCCATTTCTCTAGAAAATACATATTTTATAGGGGTAATTAGATCATGTATGAAGTTTAAAAAAACTTTTTTGTTGGAAAATTAGAAATTATACCCTTGTACCACAAAAATATGTCTAGCATACATTAATATGCATTATTTTGTGGTTAGGTATTTTAAAAAAATATTAATGAGGTTAAACTTTAAAATATAAAACATTTATTGGAAACAGAACTCAAATTCTTTTTGTAAGAGAAATTGAAAATGTAATATTTTGTTTTAATACATACTTTCTTCATGCAATGATATGTGATGAAAATTAATGAGGTCTGAGACCTATTTGTCCACGTTTCTCCAAAAATTACAGTTTTTATAAGGGTTAGTCCACCGAATTAGGTTGAATATGAAGTATTTTTAAATTACTCACTAAACTATTAGAAATGATTTTCATGTACCATAAAAATAATTTTAAGTTACATTAATATGAATTTATAATGTGATTAGGTATTTTTTAGTCAACATAAAAGAGTTAAAACTTTAGTAAATATTTTTTTTGGGAAAACTTGATCTTTTTGTAGGGGATAACCCATAGATTTCAAGATAAATTAGAAAATATTTTATTTTACTTTTAATGCATAGATTAATTCATTATATATAGAATAAAGATCAACGATGTCTGACGCATTTGTTGTCTTAATTTCTCTAGAATATAGAGATTTCATAGGGTTTGGTTTCTTGATTTACGTGGTATATAAATTTTTATTAAAATACTCAGTTGAAAATTATAAATGATGCCCATGTAACATAAAAATAAATTCGGGATACATTAGTCTAAATTTATAATGTGGCTAGATATTTTAAATAACACTAAAGAGTCTCCACTTAAGTCCAAATAGCATTTATCGGAAAACTCAAAATTTTCGTAGGGATTAACCCACAAATTTTAAGATAAATTATAAAATATAAAATCTTTGTATTTATGTATAGCTGCATCCAACACTGATATAGTATGCATATCAAAGAGTTGGATACCTTAGTTGTCCAAATCTCTCAATTTAATA